GTCTCTAAAACGGGGTTAGCAATAGTGCCTCCTTCGTAGCATTTTTGCAAGAATTAAATTGGCTGAAGTAGATAAGCCCTTAATAGGCATGCCATACCATTGATTCTAATGAAGTCCAAACACCGTATCAAACCCTGAAGGGTTGGGATCTTCAACCCATCGAGGAGAAGACTGAATGTCAGAGAGGGGAAGGAACTACCTAGCCTTATAACCTGGAATGAGTGACCATGTCAGGATTTGAACCCAGCTGTGGGAGGGTCCTCAATAAGCTGAACTACCAACCCGCATGTGAGTCTGGTGCCAGGGAGTACGTTAGACAAGAAGGGCACTCCTACCTCTTCCCCTGTGGCAACGAGATCCCTCTCCATGAGTCCATGACCTCTCTGACCCTCCTATAGTAACGAGGGTTCTGACGCCCCGGGTGGCATTTCTCCCTCCAGAGAGACTCCTCCCTGAATCTGGAAGTGTCCTTGAACAGTAACCGTTGCCCGTTGGGTCTCTCAGAGGGAGGGACTTGGGACAGTTTACTTATTACGTGACACAGGAAATTTATTGGAGACCAGAGGCCTCAACGGAAAACATACTTGACTTATTTTCAGTTGGAAACGTTTGAGAGATAAAATTGGCCACTCAGCGTTAGCCTTTTGAGTCACAACAGATCCCTAATCACAGAAGTCTCTGTTTTTCGGGAGAGATGCACACACATCTGGGAAGGGCTGCTTCTCTGCAGGAGTTCGTGTTTCTGGTGTGGGTTAAATGCCACTGCCGCCGATGCTGGAGCCCCATCGGGTGACCTGTGGTCCATGGCTACTCACACCTCAGCCTTGCTCTTAACTTCACTTAAACCTTGGAAATATTCTCAGCTATGCGCTGGGAGTCATAGTTGGGAGGTCATAACAAGTTACCTAAATCAGGGTAGGGAGTAGGAGCCTGGTGATTAAGTCCATAGGTGTGCGGTACCAGACTAGTTGGATTTGAATCCCAGCTGCATCATCACTAGCTCTGTGAACCTGGCCATGTTTCCTCCCTTCTCTGTACCTCAGCTTCTGTATCTGGAAAGTGGGGATAATAATATCACCTACCTCGTAGGGTTGGGGGGTTTTTTTGTTTGTTTGTTTTTTTAGTCTTTTTTAACATTCATTTATTATTGAGAGAGTGTGAGCAGGGGAGGGGCAGAGGGAGAGGGAGACAACAGAATCTGAAGCGGGCTCCAGGCTCCGAGCAAGCAGTCAGCACAGAGCCCGACCCGGGGGCTCGAACCCACAAACCATGAGATCGTGACCTGAGCCGAAGTCGGACGCTCGACAGACGGAGCCACCCAGGCGCCCCTTGTAGGGCTGTTTTAAGGACAAAATGAGTTCGTGCTCGTAAAGTGTTTAGAGGAGCGTCTGGCATATGTCTAAGTGCACAATGCATGTTTGCTACTGTCCTTGCTGTCGGTATTATCAGTATCCTTTGGAGTCATAATTTGGGTTTGCATAAGTGTTAAGGAAGCCTGTTGGAAAGTCTTCATCAATCATTAAAGGATACACAGCCCCGACAGCTTAGTCCCTTTAAGGCAAGAGGGACCCAGAGGGGAAGAACTATAAGCCCTCACGGGGATAGTTGGCTTGAAGTGAAGTTTCGGGCACCGTCTCTGCAATCCCTAGGTGGCTAAAATCCATCAGGATTAGCAGCTGGACCTTGTCTGTTAGATTAAGGTAAATGGAAGCCGTGGAACTTCCAGTCTGCACAGAATTTCTTCTCTCGGCAGCCCTTTGCTGATCCCTGCTGTGTGGCAGGCCCGTGGACGCCTCCCAGTCGAGGACCACTGAAGGCTGAGTTTACCTGTTTCTTCCTGTCTTGGCTGGAAGGACAGACGCACAAAACCACCTGCACCCCCTGCGCTCCGCCGTGCGGACACACACAGCGCATGCGTGTGTTGTCTGGAAGGTCGGGTCGGCAGCCGCATGCGGAACTCAAGGCATTTTATTCAAAAGTCTCAGTTCCTTTTGCATTTGCATGTTCTGGATGCCAGGTGGCAAACTAGAATTAATTTTAATACAACAGAAACTGCCATTCAGCTCCAAACCACCGTCCTTGGTGGTTTATTTTTAACCCGGGAGTGACACGGGCCACCTGGCCAAGTGCTGCCAGGCAGTCGCCCCTCCTGCCGTCTGCTGAAGCCTCCCCCAGGAGCCTCACCTCCAAGGAGTTGGTTGGGAGGCTGTGTTTTACTTTTGTAAGCTGCCGGAAGGGCTGTCACCCCAGCTTCCCCGGTGCGAACGTTGGCTGACAAAGGCCAAAGCTGAAAATGTCAGTGAGAACAAACAATATTTCAAAAGGGCCTTGTGCATTTCCCTCCTCTGTCTTGCCTCATCAGCCAAGTGTTGTGCGAGTGGCTCCAGAAGGACACCAGTCAACCCAGGAAGGAATTAATCACGCAAAAACACATTTCTCCAGTCCACTTAGTTCTGATGCTATTAAGCAGCACCTACGTGCTAATGATACGGAGAGAGAGAGAGAGAGAGAGAGAGAGAGAGAGAGAGAAGCAATTGATATCGGCGGATGTCTTTTCAAAGCTCCATTTCTTGTTTCTTCTTTTAGTATTTTCAGGCTCAGGAAAGCTCATACAGAAATGTTATGGTTACAGACACTGTTCGCCAGTGGTTAGCACCTGCTTCCTGCTCAGAAAGGAGAAAGCGCTTCCTGTCCATCCAGCTCAGTAACACTGATCCTATCTTAGTCCTTACGTAGTCGTCGTTTATGCGTGCCTCTCCCCCTTAGAGCGCAAATTTGCTCTAGTGACACGAAGGAATCCCAGGGCACACAGCGAAGCAGTTTGGAGGGTGGGTTTGGGTGACACAGACCTGAGCTGGGACTCCAGCCCTACCGTGTAATAGCTGGGCGACTTTGGGAAGGTGTTTCCATTTCCTGAGCTTCGGTTTCATCGCCTATAAACACTACAGACATGCATACAATTCACCTCTCAGGGTCTGCGGAAGATAATGTAACACGGAACCCCAAAGGTGCTGGGGGTGCGGGGGGACTCTGCAGGAACAGGCCTTCCCCCCACCCCCACACCCCGACCCCGGGCTACTGGCTCAGAACTGCAGATCAAAGCAACTGAGATTCAGGAAGTCAGCTACAGGCTCCAGACAGAAATGCCTGCTTCCTGGGGCCACTTACGTCTCTGAGCCTCAACTTTCTCATGAATGAACGCGCAGAATCTTCTGACCACCTCTGGAGCAGGCCAAGTGAGAGATGGCATCTGAGTTAAAGTCAGTGTTGTCTGAAGCCACACCCGGCCCCTGACTAACGATGTGGTGCCTGGCCTGGCACAGGGGCCACCATGCAGTAGGCCCAGAGGAAGGTAAGCTTCCTCAGGAAAGGACAGCCCTCGAGGCTCAAGGAAGTACGCTTCACCAGGACAGCTACAATGACTTAACCTTTCCGCGTTGGAGTTTACTGAAGTGCAGACCGGGGATAATAACAGTCCTAGAAAAATAATGAGTTTTCTCCTAAGGGGATAGAAGCCTTCTGAGATAGTTACACAGGATCGGGTAGAATCAGGTAATTTTTCAACTCCTTCTTGAGATTTTAGGTTCACGTCTGCCAGATGCACAGAAGCTCTTGGGTTAAATAATTCTTTAAGCAGCTGGTAGCCATTGGGCCTCTATTTTGAATGCCACTGACTCTTGGGAGCCAGCAACTGATCTTGGCTCTATCTGTCAACATGTTGAAAGTGTGTTTCTTAGGAAATTTTAATGAGTCATTTATTCATTCAGTAAATATTGGTTGAACATCTACTCTCTGGCACACCGTTGTGAGAATTAGAGAAACACTATAAACAGGGAAAAGGCCTTGCTTTTTTTGGAGCCTCCATCACAGGAAGGGTGGATGGATAATAATTAAATGCAAAAATAAATAAACAAGTTGCTGTGGAGGCACAAAAGCAGGGTGAGTGAGGGAGACACCGTGGGCTGGATGACAGTGTTGAGGGAAGTGAGGGGGTGACGTGAAGCCAAACCAAAAATGCCATGATCTAAGAACAGAACATTCCAGACAGAGGGGGTGGCAGATAAAAGTATTCTAAGGTGGCAAAGGGCTCAGTTCCAAAGGAACTGAAGGCAAGCCTTATGGCTGGAGCAGAGTGAGCTACAAAAGGTTAGAGAGGGAGACAGGAGCCAGCTCGTGTAGGTCTTATCAGCCATGATAAGGACATTTATTCTGGGTACGACCAGAAGCCATCGAGGTTGTTAAGTTATGGGAACAATAAATACCACATGATTGGGGGGAAATGCTCATAGTATGAGATTAAGTGGAAAAAAAGACCATCAAATCAAAAACTGTGTATTTAGTACCATTTTTACTATGTAAGTACATAAGTAGACACACCCGCATGAGTGCACACATACACACACACACACACACACACACACACTCAGAAAACTGAAAGAAGATACAGCAAAATATTTAAAGTGTTGGCGATAGTTGGTGGCCTTGCTTTTCCTTCCTTACTTCCCTGAATTTTGTCGGTTTTCTACAAGTTATATGACTTTCATAATCAGAAATAAATCCTGTGCTTTTTAAAAACTTGCTTGTAAAGCAATTGATGGAGAAAAAGTAGAGTGGCCCTGCTTTACTGTGTCCGATCTCAGCGTTGAGTTGAACGTGTGGTGCTTCGGAAGGCCATGTGAATGTGGAAGACTCTGGCCAGTAGAGGTTTTTTAAGTGAGTCTTTTTTTAAAGTTTATTTATTTTGAGAGAGAGAGAGAGAGAGAGAGAGAGAGAGAACCCCAAGCAGGCTCCACACCTTCAGCACAGAGCCCGACGTGGGGTTCAAAGCCACGAACCATGAGATCGTGACCTGAGCCAAAACCAAGAGTCGGATGCTTAACCGACTGAGCCACCCAGGCGCCCCTTAAATGAGTCTTTTTAACGAATCTACCCTAAAACAAACTTCTTACCCTTCGCAGTAATGTATGCAGAAGTATCTAACATTTCTGTTTCATCCACAGATTTGAATATAACCTGCCGATATGCAGGTGTGTTCCACGTGGAGAAAAACGGTCGCTACAGCATCTCGAAGACGGAGGCTGCTGACCTCTGCAAGGCTTTCAACAGCACCCTGCCCACCATGACCGAGATGGAGGCAGCCCTGAGCATCGGGTTTGAGACCTGCAGGTGAGAGGCGAGAGGGGGCGGGGCTTAGAACCCGGAGGCTCCTCCCTGACGGCTGAAGGATGGTTGTCTGAAGGGTCGGCCCCACCCATTAATTTGGGCAACTCAACCTGGAACCTGTAGGACAACTGGAATTGAAAGCTGGCTAAAGACACCTTTGTGAATCATAGTGGGGTTGCCCGGAGGAGGCCATTAAGGGTCAAGGGTTGGAATCCTCTTGCCTAAAGTGCTTCCACAGCGCTCTCCCGGCTTTGAAGAAGCGTGCAATATCATTGTCGGAACCACAAGAAAACGTAAACCAAATAACAGTGTTTAAAATAAATACGTGCCTGGTGGAGTCCTGGCTCTGCAGACGTGGCTCAAAGCAGAGTTTTTTCCAAACAACTCCCTCTCTCTGTCTCTCTCTTTCTCTCTCTCTCTTTTTCTCTCTCTGTGTCTCTCCGTCTCCCATTTGTTTGTTTCTCTTCTGTGTTGCTCTGGTTTGAGACTGTAAACGAAAGAGCATGGCAATTATTAAGATAGATTATTACACGTGATTGGGAAGTGGTCAGAGGGACCCAGAAGGCCTCCGGAGAGACCTTGTGTGGGACATCACCGCGCTCCATGGACCCTTCTGCTGCAGGACGGTCACAGCAGGCAGTGGCCTTCTGCTTCTGAGTTTCCAATGGCCCTGTGGCGAGTGGTACACATTGAAAGCTAGCAGCGGTGACAACCACGGTGAAGTGGTTTGGTCTGGTTTGTTTTCACTAGAAGAGTTCTGGGTAAGCCGAACAACCGCTCTGAAGTCTCCACCCAGCCGGCAGCTTCCCCCTGTTTTTGCAATGTATGTCATTAGGTAACACGCTTCCTCTTTCTCATTATACACACACGTACAAACACAGGCTGCTTTTTAAAAGTCAAGCTGCAGGGGCGCCTGGGTGGCTTGGTCGGTTAAGCGTCCGACTTCGGCTCAGGTCATGATCTCACAGTCCTGAGTTCGAGTCCCGCGTCGGGCTCTGTGCAGACCGCTCAGAGCCTGGAGCCTGTTTCCGATTCTGTGTCTCCCTCTCTCTCTGCCCCTCCCCTGTTCATGCTCTGTCTCTCTCTGCCTCAAAAATAAATAAATGTTTTAAAAAAATTTTTAAATAAATAAATAAATAAATAAAAGTCAAGCTGCAGACGTCTTTATCCAAGCCATGAGATGTGAGTTAAGTACGCCTGTCCGCATCCTTGGCTACAGGGTAACACCCACATTAGGAGTGGGAGCCCAGACTCTCCTGTTGAAAAGGAAAAGGAAAGTCTTGACTCCAGAACTGCACCGATAAGGTAGCCACTCACCACGTGTGGCGGGCTCACTGCAATTCAGTAACATTGAACCCTGGTGCTTCGGTGGCTCTGTCGACATTCAAGTGCTCAGCTAGGACGGATGACTGGGACCTGCTCTATTGGGCAACGCAAATGATAGAACATTTCCATTATCGCAGACAGTGCTACGGAGCAGTACTGCTCTGACAGAAAGGGCAGATGTGCGCAGACATCTGCGTGTGCTCTGAGCAAGGTCTGGGAGAATGGGAAAGCGGAGGAAGGAAGAAGCTTCGCTGACTCCCAAACCCCAGCTGTAGGCTGCAGTGAAGGAAGGCCAATTAGCAGATCCATTTATTCTGTTCCCCCAGGCTAATTGTTTAAATACAGCCCTGGCTAGGCCAGTAGCCTAAAAAAGACTTACGAAGCTGAATTTTGATTGTGAAATACAGGCAAGACATACTTAGGAAACACAGAACTGTTCCCATCTGCTGAAAAGAGGGAGGTTCTTCCCACTCCCACTGGCGAACTGTTGCGCACTTAGGGGTTGGGCGCCCTGCTCCCCACTCGCCCACGTCCCCTCCATGCTCAGACTGCTCCCTGGGTCGATCCTATTACTCCAGTGTCTGGATGAAGCCACTGAGGCTAGGAGAAGTGCCGAGGCTCAAGAAGTGGCCCCAGGGCCACATTGTGTGCGTGGGGAGGAGTCCAGATCCCAGTCCTGCTTCTTCGCCTGAGCCCAGGGCCAGAATTTAATGACCCTCCCCAAGGGCGGACTGCAAGGGGGAGGAAGCAAGGTGCATGGATTTGCTGAGCATTTCTTTCCTCCCTGTGAACAGCAACCTGCTGGGGCAGTATACACACATTTAAATTTTAACATCCCAGCTCATGTACGGTGGGATGCATAAAAGTGGCAGTTGGAATGATGTGGCAACAACTCAGGAATAACTTACAAAGGGAATGCAGATTCTAGAATGTCAGTATTACACAAATCTCCTGAATGTGATGGGGGTGGGGTGGGGAGTAGGCTCACCAAGGATATTGTTAATTAAATTAAAACAAGAAAGAAAGAAAGAAGAAAAAGAAAGAAAGAAAGGAAGGAAGAAGGGAGGGAGGGAGGAAGGAAAGAGGAAAGAAAGAAAAGAAAGAAAGAACAAAAGAAAGAAAGAAAGAAAGAAAGAAAGAAAGAAAGAAAGAAAGAAAGAAAGAAGGAAAAAGAAAGAAAGAAAGAGGATGCCTACGGCTTCTTTTTCCAGTCAGGTGAAGATCCCACTGGCTCAGGTCATGATCTCACAGTTGGTGAGTGTCTGGACATGGGGCTCTGCACTGTCAGAACAGAACCTGCTTGGGATCCTCTGTCTGCCTCTCTCTCTGCCCCTCCCCTGTGCGCACTCTCTCTCTCTCTCTCTCTCTCTCAAAAATAAATAAACACCCCCCAAATTTTTTTTTTTTTTTTTTTTTAATTTTTTTTTCGTTTATTTATTTTGGGACAGAGAGAGACAGAGCATGAACTGAGGGGCAGAGAGAGAGGAGCATTACAGAATCGAAATTAGGCTCCAGGCTCTGAGCCGTCAGCCGAGCCCGGCCGGGCTCCTGAACTCACGGATCATGGTGATCGTGGACCTGGCTGAAGTCGGACGCTTAACCGACTGCGCCACCCAGGCGCCCCCCCCCAAAATTTTTTAATTAAAAATAAAAAAGAAAGAAAAAGAAAAACCAAAGGGGCCTAAGAAACCTATCCTTCCACCCGGAGCAGGTATTAAATGTTGCAAAACACATTACATTACCATAATTTCGCTCCGGTAGCTATGAATCAGATTTCTGCCACAGGACAGGTGGCAAGTCTCATAGGCTCCCATAAAACCTTAGCAGCCGCTCTCTTCTGTGTGTCCCGCCCTGATTAGTAGCCTTTCCCAGATATATGGAAACTTGTTAACATTTAATTGCTCTCCCTCTGCCCACCAAGCTCAGGAGTCTTTGGAGAAACCAGTCTGTCCTTTCAGATGGGGAATTAGTCATGCGCTACAGTTGCAACATAGACCTAATGAGCTCTATGTGCTTAGACATTTCAAATTCATGGCCATTTCCGTGGGTCTTGCAGGGCTATGCGCTATGTGCTGTTGCCTCTGGCAGGAAAGATTAAAAGGATCTACGCTGCGCGTTTTAGCCAGCATTGCAGTTTCAGAAACTTGCTGGATTTAACTTCACCCTCTTTGTCCTACCTCCCCCGCCCCGCCGCCACCCTCTTCTCAGCCCACATCTCATTTTGAGGCATTTTCCCTTCCGGACAGATTGTGTAGTGAGTATTCAGCTTCTGCGATGCAGATCCAAGAGGCCCGGGTGCTGTCTGTTGTATCCAAAGGGGCCTCCAGCTCTGACCTGCTCCCCTGCTCCTGGAAACATCCTGGTAGGGGCAGAGGGGCCTTATGCACTTCCCTGACTGTGCTGCCTCTGGAAAATTCCCGAGCTAAATGAGGCACCGCTATCTACTTACTTAATCACTATTACTCCCATTTTAATGACAGTCAATTTACTTCCACTGGCAATGAAATTATGCCTGGGATGCTCGTGAGGCAAAATGTACTGTGTTCCTAGCATATAAACAGGGCTTTGTGTTTGCAGTAATGGAGTCTGGAGCAAGGGAATCACAGGAAAAGGTGAGGCGGGGAAGGAAGGGGTGGGGGTGGGGGAAATAGGCAGTTTTGACATTCGCGGGCTGATGCGAAGAGCCACCTCGTCCCATCCTTTGGGGGCTGGTGATTTGATGTGTTTCCTGGAAAATGGAAAGGTGATGGAGAGCCGGAGTGGAACTCACATCATATAAAGTGGTCCTTCTTCCCTCTTCGGCGACTCAGGCTTCCCTCCACCTGTTCGAACGGACTTGCGGCTGCTGCCCACAGATTTTATCTGAAAACAGGTTTTTCCTTCCTGCCTCTTTCTTTTTCAAAGCTCTGTATAGAGCTCTAAATAAAGTCAGCCGTGTCGATCCCCTCCATTCTCCCTCTGCTGTTGTTTTTGGATTTCGTACAACTCAGTTGTTGAAACGTCTGCCGTCCCCAGGGGTGAATTGAACGAGGCGGTGCAGCGTGTGAGATGTCACGTGATGGTGTGTTCTGAAACCCCCGTCGCTGCCTTGCAGGTGGATGACCTCTTGCTTGTCTCTTGCAGGTACGGGTTCATAGAAGGTCACGTGGTGATCCCCCGTATTCACCCCAACTCCATCTGTGCCGCGAACAACACCGGGGTGTACATCCTCACATCCAACACCTCCCAGTATGACACGTACTGCTTTAATGCTTCAGGTTGGTTCCGAGTGGATCGTCTCTGCGCTTGGGGTTGCTTCGGGCATGCGGGCCTTCGGCAGTGTAGCTGACAGTAATTCAGTCTTGGCTGAAGTGGGGGGGGGGGGGGTCATGTGGCTTCCCCTCACATAACAGATGTTCACTGAGTATCTCCACAGCAGAGACAAGATGCCTATCTCCAGGGTGCTGACTTTCTAGGCAGGGAGGCCAACAGGAAACAGAGAGATAGTAAATACCTTAAGTGATGGGAGAGAGTGGCGAGTGCTCTAAAAAGGAAAGCAGAGCGGGAAGCTTCAGAGTGCTAGGGGAGCTTTGGTCTGAGAAGGTGGCCAGGGAAGGTGCCTGTGAGGAGGTGCATTTGGGGGAGCCCCAGCTGGAGTCAGGGAGGAAAGCCAGGGGCAGGGGGGACAGCCAGTGCAAAGCCAGGTGTCGGGGAGCATGGTGGCTTATTCTGAGGACGCCAAGGTGGCCAGGGTGGATAAAGCCCCGCTAGCAGAAGCGAGAATGCCAAGGAATGAAGTCAGGGGGGTAGACAGGGGCCAGATCACACAGGGCCCTGCAGGCCATGGTAAAGAATGTGGATTTTACTAGGTTCACGTGATGGAAAGTCATTGCGGGGTTTTGAATAAAGAAGTGACATGAATCTAATGAGAGCGTTGGTGTATGAGCCAAATGGCTTAGCTCAGAGGTATTTATTATATGTTGGGGCTGTAGAGAAAGCTGGGAGGATATACTGTAAGCCTTTGACCTTCTTGAGTTTCCTTTCCCAACAATTGAGAGCCTGACAACTGGAGAATGAGAGCGCCAAGCTACGACGTGCACGCTGGGCTGCTGGCCAGGCCCCTCTCCCTGTCTAAGGGACCTCCTTCCAACCACTGGCCTAGAAACATGCTCATAAGTCTAATTCAGGCTCCAGCAAAATTCAAAAATTCCATGCATCGTGTATTTTCAGCGTCTTTTGAGAAGGGTCAAAAACGTAAATGTCAAATTTTGAATGCCGACAATGAAACATTGATCGATTACTTACTTCTCAGACTGGGCGTTCTGTCCGTTAGAAAGGTTTTAGATTGTGTGAAAGGAAGATGGAACCACAAGATAAACCCCATAAACACGTCTTCCTGGCATATCGGTTCTCCTTAAAGATGGGAAGGAGGGCTGAGTTAAATTAGCTGGACAGTGGTTAAAGACAGTATCTGTCGGAGACAAATACAGATTATTATACGATGACTGAAGACGTTGTTTGCATGAGACAAACACAGATGTCATATATGGTAGTAGAATATCAAATCTGCATGGATTTTAAATTTTTTTTTTTTCAACGTTTATTTATTTTTGGGACAGAGAGAGACAGAGCATGAACGGGGGAGGGGCAGAGAGAGAGGGAGACACAGAATCGGAAACAGGCTCCAGGCTCTGAGCCATCAGCCCAGAGCCCGACGCGGGGCTCGAACTCACGGACCGCGAGATCGTGACCTGGCTGAAGCCGGACGCTTAACCGACTGCGCCACCCAGGCGCCCCAGAATCTGCATGGATTTTTAAGTGCAAGTGGAAGCATCAAAATAATTGTGAGATTACGTCAGTAGCTTTCACTCTCCGGCCACCCACTGTGGCGTGACCAGTCGGGATCCGAGTGGGAAGTCGAAGGAGAAGTCTAGACTTTAGGAGAAAGAGAAAGTTTCGGGGTTGAATAGTTGAAATGGAGTGTGTGAAGCCAGTAAAATTATGTCAAATACATGCAGGTCCCTAAGCCTGTGGGAGGGACACTCAAAACACAGAGGAGAAGACCGAAGAGTGTTTTCTCTTCCCTGGTATATGAGCGAAGGGTGCGAATGAAGTTCAACCAAAAAGAGGAGAGTCCAAATGAGGCTAAACAGTACATGGCCCATACCCCATTCCCACATTCAAACCCACACCGTCCGTCTGATGACACGATGGTGAGAAAACCCACGTGCAAATAAAGGAGAAATAGACACAAAGCCACATGTGGCCTAGCTAGCTTATTTTATTGCCAGAGGGCTTTGGGAAGACGTTGTGTTTTAGACGAAGGGGTTGGTCACATGGGACAGGGCTGGCATGGGACTGCATACTCCAGAGTCTCTGGGTCCTGCCTGTTTCTTCTCCCACCGAATCTTGTCAAGTGAGTGTATGCCATAGATTATGTTGTTGCATATCCACATTGTCTCACCCGTTTGACGAGTTAGTATCGCTTGCTGGAAAGAACCTGAACTCAAAAGGCTAGAAGCTCGCACTGTTTTATTGCCTGGAATTGCAGCCATCTAGACAAGTTACTACGGAGACTTCTCTCCCTGCCCTTATTTTTGCCTGTAAGGATGGGCCTATCCTCAGAGAAGAGAGTGAACAGTACTAATGAACTTTCCTCTTCTTTGCGGGGGAGGCGGTAGTCCAGCTGAAAAGTTGGAGAAGTTCAGGGAGTGTGTGCATACGAAAATGGTTGTAGCAAAGTAGTCAAGGTTAAGGGGAAGATTTCCTCTTCTCTTATCCAAATTTACTTAATGTAGATAGGCTGCTTTTATACGTTTTTCCTTAAGTTTTTGGTTGTTGTTTTGTTTTTAAATGTTTATTTATTTTGAGAGAGAGAGAGAGAGAGAGGGCACGAGTTGGGGAGGGGCAGAGAGAGAGAGGGAGACAGACAATCTCAAGCAAGCTCCAAGCTGTCAGCACAGAGCCCGATGTGGGGCTCGATCCCACAAACCTCGAGATCATGACCTGAGCTGAAATCAGGAGTGGGACACTTCACCGAATGAGCTACCCAGGTGGCCCAGTTTTCCTTTAAATTTTAAAAAGAGTATTTATCGATCCACTATATGTACCCAGTACTCTGCTGGGCAAGTCGAGTGAGAAAGAACCAGTGGCCATATTTCTTGTCTTGGGAGGTTATTTCGTTGAAGTGATGAAACAAAACAACAAAAAAAAAAGAAGCTGGAGAAGATTGTTTATCTCAGGAGAAAGTCTAAATGTCTTGGTTTAGAGTCAGTTGAAAGAGGGGCTAAGGGGACTATGGGTCTTGATAACCTTCTGTTCTATGCAGGGATCTCATTGGAAAGGTCCTTGAATCCAGCCTAGCTGGAGAGTTGCCAGCAGCTAGTCAAGACCCAATGATGTGATCCCCCACAAGACCCTTTTGGTCTACAGGGACCAAATCCAGCTCAATCTTAGCAGATCGCTTCCGTGTGCTTACAGTTTCAGCAGCAGTTTTATAAAAGATGGCCTGTGGGTTACAAATGAAAATAAGGCAGACCCTGGGAAGGCTGCATGATTCTTATTTTTATTGCCTTCTCTCTCAGGAAGGCCCAGCACAAGCATGGTGACTTTTGTGTTAACAGCCCAGAGAACTGACTTGAGTTGGTCCATTTTTTAAGTTTGCCTCCAGTAAAACACCCCATTCTTTTTTGAAGGAGGGATTTAGGAGAAGATTCTACATTCCTCTGTCTCTTCGCTCTTTCATCCATTCAACAAGTACTTACTGGATATCTAGAGTATATCAGGCATTGAGGAAGATGTCTTTCTACCTGGCACTGAGTCATTGGCCGGATGGAATAATTAACATTTCTCTTGGCTGTTTTGCTGCAGTGGAGGCAAAGTTTAGAGAGGCAGCCCACCAGGAAGCCCACCCCAGAGTCTTTCTAACGACCCCTTGGGTTCAGGAAAGGCTCACCAGGCCTGATTCTCCCAGCAGTGCAGTGCTCATTAAACAGAATAAAAAACTGTCAGTGACGCTCTGCTGTCTGACAGGGGAGCGTGAAGGTATTAATTGCACATTTGGGTCACCATTCATCCTAGTGTGCTCGGCAGATTTGATATTCTTTATAAAAGTTAAGGTGAACTAGAGCATGAAGAGGCTCCGTTTGAACAAATGCTCTAATGATTTACAAAACTGTCTTGGTGTTTTTTTTACATCGTGCCCCGGTCTATTACAACCCAACTCCTAGAAGTTCCTTCCCAGGGCAGTGCTGTTGTGTTTGAATTTGGGGAACGTCGTTCCATCCCTGTCATTAAGAGGTCATAATCCAAGGCTGTTTCCAGATTTGTGCAAGTGACAGTACCAGAAGCATCCGTGGGGCACCTGGGTGGCTCCGTCAGTGGACTGCCTGACTCTTGCTTTCGGCTCTGGTCATGATCCCAGAGTCATGGGATCGAGCCTCGTATCAGGCTCCATGCTGAGCATGGAGACTGTTTAAGCTTCTCTCTCTCTCTCTCTTTCTGTCTCTCTTTCTGCCCCCTCCCCCACTTGAGTGCTACCTCCCTCCCTCCTTCCCTCCTGGCTTCCGTCCCTCCCTCCCTCCCTCTTTCTCTCTAATAAAATAAATAAATAAAATTTTGAAAATTAAAAAAAAGAAACATCTCACAGGTCCAGCCAGTTTCTGGTGGCGTTACCACAACAGACAGGGTAGATACTCTTCAAGATCTCCCAGGTTGGCTATCTGTCCTGATTTTCAGATGAGGAAATCCTTGGGAAAATTATTTGAAAGCTGTAAAAATCTAAAGAAGTATTGTTATTGTCCCCCATGACCTTGTGAATTCCTCAGAAGCAGAGACAGGAACATGTTCATCTTTTTGCTCTTTTTAAAAAACCCATCACACGAGTAATGTTTAAAATGAATAAATGAACTGATATTTCTAAAACTTTTTAAAAAATATTTCTTACGGCGTTGCCATTCCGGGTTTATCTAAACATTTCTTGACCTGTTTATAACGGCAGTCCATTTGGAGAGTTAACATCTTAGGTGTGTTTCCTGGAAGAATGGGCCTGTGAGAAATTACCTTGGCATTTCCTCTTTCGTTCATTCAACAAATATTTATTAAGTGCCTTTCTGACCGATCACACATAAATGTTCTGCCCAAGATAGCTAAGGTCACTACACATCGCGTAGAACTTACATATTTCTATGGAGCAGGGGTTAGGGGTTGGGAGATGTGCCCTGAACAACCATCAGGTAAAATGAACAAGATAATCTGAGAGAGAAGAATCCAGAAGAGCTGCAAGCAAATGTGTGATGGTGGTGTATGTAGGGGATTGGTAAAGGGCTGGCTGACATTGGACAGTGAGGAACAGCCTTACTGAGGAGGTGACTTTCTCTGAGACTCTCTTCTGAGAAATCTTTTACTTAGCCTTTACAAGAATGGCTTTTCCTAAAACCTGTTTTGTTTTTTTTCCAGTTGAACATACAAAGGCATCCCCTTTACCTGTAGGAAAAGATGCTTCTGGGGTTGGGAAGCAACCAAACCTTGTTTTGTTCAACTTGTGTTTCTGTCCAATGTTATGAGTACCCATTAATTTATGGCAGAACACTTAAAATATTTATAACAGCCTTCCTAGTGATAGCAGTCTTCCTACCTCCATCCATCCATCCATCCATCCATTCATCCATCCATCCACCCGTCCCTTTCTTTGTCTTTTCTAAGAAGCAACTCTAGGGAGAAACCAACCTAACAAATAAGCTTCCATTTTGGGCACAGGTGCATGCATGCACACATACACACAAACGGATCCAAACTTCCTACAATAGCACAGCCAGTTCAAAGTTCTCTGAGTTTCTCAATACAAAGTCTAGTTACCAAATAGAGCATTTGGGCATAAATGGAACAGCTGGTTAAGGCATTCTTCGATCTTGTTTTTTTAGGGCTTAGGTATGCAGGGTGGAATTTTCAGTGGGCTTTACACAGTGTTCTCAGAGAGCTACTTAGTAATGTCTCTAGGTGGTTAGGAGTATCCAAGGTACAGTCAGAAATCTTTATTCCTGAAGAAGAGGGGAAAGTAGAAGATAAGATGGAGGACAAAGAAGAAGAAGCCAGGGTGCCCGGGTGGGATATGGCAGCACACTGGTCTCAGGAAATAGTCTGGGCACCTAGACCAATGGTGGACAACCTACCTCATTAGCTATATGTTGAGAAGAAGTCTAGACAGAGTAGGCACTTAAGGATCCAGCTAAGTTAATCAACACATCTGTGCATCAAGAAGCCACTGAAGATTCATTTGTTTTGGAATATTTTTTTTTAACTTATTTTTTATTTTTTTAAATTTACATCCAAATTAGTTAGCATATAGTGCAACAATGATTTCAGGAGTAGATTCTATCAAGTAAATTCTTGGTGCTTATTTTAATGTATGTATTCTCATGCTGGTCACGTTGATAAACATTTGGTTATATTGGTCTGTCCTGTGTTTCCAGATTTCTATAGAGTATTGGGATCGCATATGATTTTTTCATTATAGTTCACACTTCTTTATTAAAAAATGTTTTTACACTGTTCCCATATTACTTTTATTCATTTATATGTTTATTTATTTTGAGAGAAAGTGCATGTGCGGGAGGGCAGAGAGGGAGGGAGAGAGAGGATCCTAAGCAGGCTCCGTGCGTCAGTGCAGAGCCCGACACGGGACTCCATCTCACAAACTGTGAGATCATGACCTGAGCTGAGATCAATGCTTAACCAACTGAGCCACCCCAGCAACACCCCCCCCCCCCGACATTACTTCTATAATAACACACTTAAGAAGTAATTTCTAATCGATGCCTCATTCCAGAAGGACCATGTCTATCTTATCTACCATAATACCCCCAGCCTTCCGCAACACTTGATGGAGAACATACATATGTGTTTGTTTAATGAACGAATCCGTTAGGGTGGAAAGAGGAACAAGTAAGCTTCCCAAAATGTATGAAGGTAAATAAAAATGGAAAATGCATCACAAAGGTCAGGGAAGTTCCTAGGAAACTTAATCAAGTTTCAGAAAAAGAAAATTATTTAGTTCACTTATATGCGAAATCTAAAAACCAAAGGAACACGCAAACAGAAACGGACTCGTAAATACAGAGAACAAATTGATGGTTGCCAGAGGGGAGAAGGGTGGGGGATGGGTGGGGATGGGTGAAACAGGTGAAGGGGAATTAAGAGGTACAAACTTCCGGTTCTAAAATAAGTAAGTCATGGTGATGGAAAGTATGATATAGGGTATGGTACAGGGAATACAACTAACATTGGAGTAACGTTGAAAGGTGACAGATGTCATGGTGAGCGCTGAGTAATGTGTAGACTTCTTGAATCACTATGTTGTACACCTAAAACTAATGTGACATTGTATGCCATCTACATTTCAATAATAAAAAAAGAGAATTATTTCAGAAAATGTTTAATAAAACCCCATACTAACCAACAGAAATCAGTTCTGCTCATAGTTCTTACTGTTCTCCTGCATTTTTTCTTTGCTACCCCACAGCTCCGCCTGGAGAAGATTGTACATCGGTCACACACCTGCCCAATGCCTTTGAAGGACCAATTACCATAAGTACGTACCTCTTCGAACCTTCATTGAGTTTCTCCGTTCTTGGGAAAGGGGTCAGATGCATTTTCTGTGTTTCACATTTGAGCAGAATAGTTGTTTCCCTCGGCCAGGGTCACTGGCTGTGATTCACTGGCCCTTCCCCTTCTCCTGCAGTGGCTTGAAACTACAACTTGGTTGACCCCAACACATTGTTCCTCAAACTGCAGTCATTCGAAAACCACTTTCTTTTTGACGCCTCTGTGTACACAGAACGATCATTCCCTTGATATTTTGCGTTTAATCGGTCCATTCTTTTCTACTTAAACTATGTTCGTTTAAAAAAAAAAAATACCTGAAAATGGAAAACCCAATTCTTGATCGTAAGTAGAAGGTATCCTTAAACATATGCTTAAAATGCGGGACAAATTAGGTCGCGTTCTTAAATTCTAGCTGCTGAGGGTTCTGAGTCTGAGCTGTGTTCTTTCTCATAGAAGAGGATTAGTAAGTCTCAGGGGGAGAGGCATTCCAGCCCCCTAAATTTTGTTTAATGGTAGTATGAAAGATAATTATAAAGGGCGTAGATTTCCTGGTAGGGGTTTCAACATTATTTATACCACACCCACCTAAACTCATCTCGATTACCCCAAGAAGGAGGCGTCTGGCACTGTACGAGAACAGAAAATCTCAACCAAAATTTTCAGAGCGGTCAACTTATTAACCCCGACCTTCTGGCCTCTGAACCTCATTTTTTGGGGGAAGCGTCATAATGTTGAGGAGGCCTGGTTTCTGCCTCCTAAGGACCAGACCCCTCAGTGTACAAGGGAACAGTGGTGGCAGTGGCAGAGGGCTGAGAATTCTTCCTGGCCGCGCCCATCCAGCCCCGCACTGTTATATAGAAAATTGTCCCTGACCTGTGCCTCAGGGAAGGAAAGGGAGGCCCGCACAGTGAGATGTGCTGTCTCAGTCAGGCTTGGTCTAGTTCCTTACCACCTGGGTGATCTTAAAGGAAGGACTTACTGTCTCTGAGCCTCAGTCTTCTCATCTGGATAATGGAACAACAGGTGAGATTTGAAAAGAAAGTGAAGAAAGGTAATATGTCTAATGTGTGCTTGGCCCATAGTCACGTTCAATAAACGTCCCACTTCCTTGGTGCTCACCAATGCCTTTCAAAGTCCAGACCTATCCGAGTTGCGTCATATTTTCTGATCAAATCTTCATTTGCAGAGATTATCGGGCTGTTCGAGACTTTGGAATATTTTTTAATTTATGTTTTACTGATAGTTCCACTTGGGCAAGCCAGATAGGTGGACAAAAGGAACATTGAGTCCAGGGCAATATAGCAGAAAATAATTTCAGCTAAATGCACACTTGTGCGGTGAGTGGGCCAGACTTGACAAAGGCAGCCAGTCTTTTTCAGGGGAACAATGAAGGAAATCATTCTTGCATTTTCTCCTCCTGTCTATTCTAGGCTTTGCCTTGTTGAAATCAAAGATTTTGAGCTTCATATGCCTCTGTGCTTCTCAAATTCAAGTTTGAATGTCACAGAGGACGGGCAAGCGCTCTGTCACTGTTGAGGCATGCTGATGTCTTAACCAGAGTAGGGGCTCATGAAGACTGACAACATTCGCCCCTTAGAAAGAAGGGGGCATTGATTCTTCATGGATTTGCAAATATATATTCCCTGTTGGGACTACTAACCTCTTTGCTCCGGCTTCCAATCCTTTCTAGAAACAGTTGGAATCAATAGCAACAAATTTTACATGTCCTTGAGAAGGGAGAATAGGGACCAGTGGGGAAATTTTCATTTTTTTTGAGACCAGCTAAAATTTGGATACTATGCTAAGCACTTTACATACAGCGCATCATATAGTGCTCATAACAGAAGGTAGTACTTTTCCCGTTTTACAAATGACAGAAGTGAAATGAAGCCCGGTACCAGCTTTGTCGAGAGGCACACAAAGCTGGGATTCAAACATGGACGCGTCCAAACACACCCTCTTTCTCCCGCCCCATTTCTAAGAGGCGGGGGTAGGCACGGGAGGGTACACTTTCTTAGTGCATCACCTACTCCCCCCACCCATCTAGCTAGGTAGTTAAGTATTGTTTTGCTTCATCACAAAGAAAAATAGCTTTGAAGTCACTGTCTTACATGATAATCCACAGTCTTGCTTAAACACAGAAAATGTCGGCTGTCAAGTTCTGAGAGTGCCTTCTCTTTCTCCCAGCCATTGTTAACCGTGATGGCACCCGCTATACCCAGAAGGGTGAATACAGAACCAACCCTGAAGACATCTACCCCAGCAACCCCACTGACGATGACGTGAGCAGTGGATCGTCCAGTGAAAGAAGCACTTCGGGAGGCTACAGCATTTTCCACACCCACCTTCCAACTGCCTACCCGACCCCGGACCAAGACAGTCCCGGGACGTCCGACAACCCAGAGAATCCCCCCATTACCAGTAAGGAGAATGAATCACTGTGCTTTCCGATGGCGATTTGTTTGCAGAAACGTCTCTGGTCTTCCTGAGTGACGGGCACTCACTTGTGTGTCGATTGTCTCCTGTCTCTAGAAGTTGGTCACCTCATGTGGGGAGGTGGACTATTACGGTTGTCAGTGCCCTGTATGCATTGGCTGCTACCGCCTATAATTTTTGTCCATCTGCTTCTCTGTTTTGCTTACCTTGGGAGAAGTAGTGCCATTTTGGAAGTCTTTTTAGAAGAGTTTTTCTTGTTCTCTTGTCTCAGGGACGTGGTGACAACTCAAGCATGACACGGAAGCTGTTTTTACTTTTACATGTTTCTTTCTTGTTCTTATCCACCTTTGGATAAGATTGTTTTCATACAGCTGGGATCGTAATGCATGCATACCAGTCCATCCGCTTTTCTCAACCGAACCTTACATTTTTGTGTTTTAACTTGATTTATGCTGTTTTATTGATGGCGTGAGATTCAGTCACCTTCATCACCCGTGATTTACTAAACAGTCCCTTTGTTTTGGGTTTAAGGAAGCATATCTGAAGGAGTTATCTGATCAAATTAAATCTGCTTAAAAGTTGTATATCCCAGCCTGTAGAGGAAGGCTGTTAATACTTGCTTGAATATGTGGGTAATTCATCACGTTAGGACTGCGAGAGTGGAAATATGTAAACATTGTGTTCGATCTCGTTGAGGGTTTTTTTTTTTTTTTTTTTTTTTTTTTTTTTTTTTTTTTTTTTTTTTTTTTTTTTTGCCCTTTGTGCCCACTTTCACTGGAAAGTGTTTGCATCGCCCTCTCATCTCCTTCTTTGCTTTTTCCCTATGGTTTGTTTTAAAACAGGTTTTCAGATTGGCCGCGTTCCTTCTGTGGAGGATTACTCAAACTGAAACAGGGTCTCTGCCTCTTGGGCAGCTTTCCCAGTATGGTGTGGATTTTTCTTTCTTCCTGTCTATGGCTCTGGAGGGCTGGAACTCCGGTCTCCAAAGAGTGTGCCAGAAGTTCACTGCTTTGCCAATGCTCAAGATAGGGCCCTTTACGGTGCCTTGTCCCCCCAGAAGCCAGGGCAACCTTCAGAGCACGGTGACTTCATGTAAGGTTACTTGCTCAACAGTGTTTTAAATTCCTGTGAGCAGCTGGCTGAGGGTGCGTAACAAATAGGCGTGAGGTCGGCTTGTTCTTTGCAGATCCTTTGCAGCCTTTCAGGAAGCGGACGTTTTCAACCTGCCCGTGCTTTCCCAGATTACTGGCTCTCTGAGGATTGTGTCTCCTCGTTGTCTATCATCCCATGGATGACCCTTCTTGGGAGGGGCTCCGGCAAACCAAGCAGGCAGTGCTATTGGCTGCTTGCTACTTCTTGAGCGCCCTGCCTTGGTAAAGTAACCCCGCTGAAGGTGCCTATCATCCGGGCACACGATTTTGTCAGACGTCGGCGAACATAACAATTAGTGGTCTCAGCAAGAGGCAAATCAAGTCTACTCTAAGGTACTATTTCCCACCGAAGAAGAAAATCATGACAAAATGTATCTTTTAGGAACTAGGCGAAATTCACACTCAAGCCATTATTAGCCTATGCAAAATAGTGAGTATTTCACGTGTGCTTTGGAAAGGCAACGGGGTCATTTTATGGACAGTCACAGCACATCTTTAAATTTTTATTTTTTTACCGTTTATTTATTTTTGAGAGAGAGAGAGAGAGAGAGAGAGAGAGAGAGCGCACAACCAGGGGAGGGGCAGAGAGAAGGAGAGAGAGGACCCCAAGCAGGCTCTACACTGACAGTGTGGAGCCTGATGCGGAGCTCAAACCCACAAACCGGGAGATCACGACCTGAGCGGAAGTCGGATGCTCAATTGACAGAGCCACCCAGGCGGCCCGCACACTGTTTAAAGGATTGCACATTTCCTGCTTAGGTTAGTTAGTCAGAAAACATATTTTGAGGACCTACTATGTACCAAGTCTGTGCTAATGCTTGGGATCCAGTGGTGAATACCATTAGAAAGTGATACTGAAGGGAGATAAGGATTAGTAAGCTAGTAACCAATATTTACTAAGTATTAAGCAATATTTGAGGTCTTCTCTGTGCCAAATGCTGCTCCAGTTACTCGGAACCCAGAGCTGGACTGACTTCCTTGGAGCCCCGCTACTGTTCAGAAATCAAGGAGAAGGAATGCTTTGAGACTTAACGAAAACATAGGATTTGGGTTGAGAAAAGAAGTGTCCTTCCCTCTTTTCAGAGCACTTAGCTAAGTTTTTCTTAGTAGTTCAGTAAGAGAAAGATTCATTTATCCAACAGAATTACTCTCAGGTTAGAGTCACTGAAGTGCTACAGCATCCAAAAAGGCCAGTGGAAGCTCCAGATAAATCCATCTGTGCAAAGAAGGGTATCCAAGAAAACAATCAGGTAAAAACTTGAAAGCAGTCCATGTTAGAAAAAGTTACCAGTGGTAAGTTCTTGGATAGACCCCATTATCTGAGGCCAGTGAGGAGATTCCCAAAGCTTCATGACTGTTGGACCAAAAAGGTAGAGCATGGTGGGAGGGAGTGACAGCAAGTCCTCTGTAATGGGTACAGGAGGACAGATGTCCAGAGGAGGTTGGGCTGAGGACAGAGAAGCACATCTTTAGCTTGGCTGGCTCATTCCTTCCTTAAGGGTCCTTAGTGGGTGGCTGCAGGGAAAGCCAACCAGAACAACCATCTGGAGAGGTTTTGATTTCCATCAGGCTTTTTATTACAAATGTGATTTTTGGAAGAGCCTTCCTGGAGGCATGTTGTCAGCCTCTTTTCTATTGGCGGTCTGGCATTCTCTGGAATCCAGAAACCTAAACCAACTCAGGAAGCAGCCTCTTACCTTGGAACACTCGATTTCCTTGTCTTCTGGGTGGCAAAGAAATACATACATACATATATATGTAAAAAAAAATTTTTTTTTTTGGTCTGGCATGGCCTACTTGGGTTGGGAAAATTGGAAACTCTGATGCTTCTGACTCCTTTCAGGAAATTGAAGGATTCCTATTTCTATCTTGCTCTTGTATGTTTGCTTCCCATTGGTCTCTTCTTGGTCTTCTATACGGTGAAAGTGGCAGAAGGTCTCCATATTTAAAAAGGTTTCTGAGGGCAGAATGAGGTGCCTGAGAATTTTTCAGGGGGATGCTCAGGTTTATCTGGTGAAATTGGCTCCTACTCTCTCTACTCTGTGCCAACGTGTCTTTTGCAGCACAGAGCATATTGCACAGGTTGTTGACGTTTTCTGAATACAGAGTCAAAGTTTTTTACCTGGAATTAATGGACTTCCCATAGGTTCAGTGATGGGTCATAAGGTGTCCAAGAGCTACGTGAAATAATACGCAAAATTTTGAGAATGTATATCTGTTGGATCACTTTTTTGAGGACAGGAGTCATAACTTATATCAGATTTTCAAAAGGGTATATAACTTGAAATGGCTTTTAAAGATCTCGAGTGGTTTAGCTGTTTATCCTGATGATCTTTGCTGTTCTTCTTCTACAGGGAAACATTCTCTTTTTTTATGTGTATTTATTTTTGAAAGAGAGACAGAGTGTGAGCTGGGGAAGGGCAGAGAGAGGGAGACAGCATCTGAAGCAGGCTCCAGGCTCTGAGCTGTCCTCACAGAGCCCGAAGCGGGGCTCCAACTCAAACCATAAGATCATGACCTGAGCCGAAATTAAGAGATGCTCAACCAACTGAGCCACCCAGGTGCCCCTGCAGGGAAACATTCTAGACTCAAGCCCCACTTAGTCAAATGGGAGATTTCAAATTGCACAATATTACTGATCGTCCTTTCTCTAATTTGAATAGAGTCCAGAATTTCTCTAACTTGGGCAGTCTCGTTTCTTTTCTGGAAACACATTCTGAATTAGAACTAAAAGTGACAGGAAGTGATAAATGGACACTCAACCAAGCTTCATCTGATTTCAACATTTTGAACACACACCCTTTGCAAAGCTTCTTCTGCTCAGGCATAAAGCTTGACTTGAAGTTAATGAGTGTGGGCGGAACTTTGAAATGGCAGTTGTCATCAGAAGCTACCTGCATAAAGTGATAGACCCAAGAGATTACAAACAAGCATCTCTAAAGACACTCCAAAAATAAATGAACGAAAGCAACTTTATGAAATGCTGCATCGAAGATCTTCAGTTCATGGCTGGGTCGCCCCATCAAGTAAAATAACATCTCTTTTCCTTCACCGCTTATTAAGTTCCTACTTGGTTTTGCTCTGAGCTTGTGTTCAGAGGGTTCCATTTGAGAAATGAGTACCACTGAATTGATACCCGTGCAGAATTTGCATTTCTGGGGGCTCCTGGGTGGCTCAGTCGGTTAAGCGTCCGACTTCGGTTCAGCTCATGATCTCACGGTTCATGGGTCCGAGCCCCGCGTCGGGCTCTGTGCTGACAGCTCGGAGCCTGGAGCCTGCTTCGGATTCTGTGTCTCCCCCTCTCTCTGCCCCTCCCCTGCTTGCACTTGTCTCTCTCTCTCTCTCTCTGTCTCTCAAAACTAAATAAACGTTAAAAAAATTTTTTTAAAAAAAGAACTTGTATTTCTGATGTTGCTCTAAGATTCTAAGAGACGTTAGAAGACTGGAGAGATAAAAGCAGGCCTTAATCTTCCTTTGGTAATCTCCGCTCTGTAATAGATACCGACTTTCTATGTATGTAGAACTTGGAGTAAAGGTTTTGTGGAAAGATCTCACTAAATGGTATTTTCATAATTGATCCAGTTACTTCAACTGTGCACTCAAACAGCCACGCAGCAGTTCAGGAGCAAACTAATTGGATGTGGTCCTGGTTGGGTAACTCACAGCCTAAGACTCAGGATCACACAGCAGCTGCGACAACAGGTAAACCGTTATGTCTTCTGTTTCTCCGTTGCCCTCAATGCCAAGTTTTTCCAGGTCGAGGAGAAGGACACCCATTATCCTGGAGAAATTTCCCACCGATGTTCCATCTCCTCCTTAGGGAGAATAGGATCT